CCAGCTCCCTCCTAGATGCTACCCAGAATCCTCTGAGCTTACCAGAGCTCATTTGGTGCTACCCCAGTGCTCACGACCCCTTTGGCCCCACCTTTCCCTTGTTCTGTCACCATCTGGGGAGTGGTTGTCCCTGGTCCACCTTGCATCCTCTGGATACAAGGTCTTTCCTATAGAGACCTTGGCAGTGTCCCCAGGACCTTCCCATTTCCTCTTCCCAGCCTCCCAGCATTTCTTCACAGCACCTTCCTTGCTTCAGACAGCCCCAGAGGGAGCCGCGCTGCACCCCATTCCTAAAGCACCCCATTGTCGCCTATCCATCCTACCCCATTTGTCCACATCCACTGCCTACCTCCCTGATGTCTAGCCCCAGCTGGTGGACTCTCCAGTCCACCCGACAGACCGTTCCCTCCCCAGCTTGTCCTATCACTTCCTGCCTGTTCTTTAGGTTCTGCTGAGATGAGGGCTTTTCCTCCAAGAAGCCTTCCTGGGCTTGGGTTCCATCTTGGTGCTCCCATGTAGTCAACCATGGTACATGGGTACTGCCAACAGAGGCTGCCGCCTCTTCAGCCTGTGCTCTTGTAGCTGGAGCAGGTAGTCTTTGGGGGAAGGGACTTGGAGAGAGAAGGTAGAAGTTGCATCAAGGAGGGAAATCATAGGGTCCCTGGGGAATATCTGAAGGGACTACCAGGACAGGGCAGGCAGGACCAGCTGGTGAAGGCACTCATTGTCCTCAGAGGTCCTGTCAAGCCGCATGGAGGGCATGATGGCTTCCTACACGCCGCTGGCCCCTCCACAACAGCAGATCGTGGCCATGGAGCAGAGCCCCTACGGAAGCAGCGACCCCTTCCAGCAGGGCCTCACGCCACCCCAAATGCCAGGTGACCACATGAACCCCTATGGTAAGCTGCCCCACCCCATCTGCCCCAGCACTGCCCTCTGTCCTTGCCTAGCCAGGCAGACAGAGGCTATGACAATCCTTGCTGCCCCAAGCTGAGGGCCCAGGGCCCAGGGCAGTCCAGCCCACACTGCCAACCTGCCTCCCACTGACGGGAAGGGCCTAGACCCAGCCAGCTGGCCTGCCCATAACCCCTGGCCATGGAGCCTGCAGGGCTGCCAGAACCTCCTGGAGCCCTGGCCCACACCCAGCTCCTGACATCCCTTCTGCACCCCACAGGGAATGACTCCATCTTCCACGATATCGATAGCGATACCTCCCTCACCAGCCTCAGCGACTGCTTCCTCGGCTCCTCTGATGTGGGCTCCCTGCAGGCCCGTGTGGGGAACCCCATCGACCGGCTCTACTCCATGCAGAGCTCCTACTTTGCCTCCTGAGAGCCAGCTGGGCCGCATGGACGCTTGGGCCTAGGCCTAGGGTGGGACCACAGGCCTCTGCAGCCAGCCGGCCCCCCAGCCCACCACCCACTCAGACTCAACAGACAGCCATATGGTGCCCTCCCCTCGGCCAGCCGGACCTGGCTCAAGTGCCCACTGGGCACAGCCAGACAGGCAGATGGGTGCAGCCTGGGCAGGGATTGTGTCCTGCCCACAGAGACCTTGTGACTCCTGGGGACCCAGAGCTCTTGGACAGCCACTCGCCTCCCAGCCCTTTGACTCCATCACCTCCTTTCCCCTCTCCACCTCTTTTTTTTGGGGAAGTTTGTATTTGTTCTATTTTTTTTAAACATTCTATTTCCAGCCAACCTCCATTGTCCCTGCAAGGCCAGCCCTGGGACAGTGCCTGGTACCGGAGAAATGGTTATACGGGTGTCCTGCGCAGGTGACCACTTCCCTTTCTGGTCAGCGCAGGGGATGGTTTCTGGGTCCTAGGAGGCCCAGGGTCACTGTCCCCAGCCCTAGGCTGGGGCAGAGTAAAGGAGGAACCAAGCAGGGGTGACAGGCTCTTTGTCCCTGCCTGAACTAGGAGTCACAAGCAAGAGGAGGGATGTGGGCAGAGCCCAGAGAGACCCAAAGGGACAGAGATGCACATGTAAAGGCCCACACATCTGTAGGCACACCTGTGCAAACATGCATATACTTCTGGGTGTACACACACACACACACACACACACACACACACACACAC